CTCCTCTCTCTCTCTCTCTCTCTCTCTCTCTCTCTCTCTCTCTCTCTCTCTCTCTCTCTCTCTCTCTCTCTCTCTCTCTCCCTCCCCCCCTCTCTCTCTCTCTCTCTCTCTCTCTCTCTCTCTCTGTCTCTCTTTCTCTCGCAATCTCCACCGACCTGAAAAGTCCTGCCATGCTGGGTTTGCGTAGAGCGTCAGAACGTCCACACATGTACGCGATCTGTGGTCGGGATTCGCGCTGTGGCGATTACATTGGGTTGAGTCGCCGCGAACGAGCAGGATCGTGTGATCTAACAGGGATTTCTCTCCGTGAGTCCGATGTGTGATCAGGGTGACGTTCGGGGCCATTTGATCGTGACGTTTGATTGGGCCGTGTGATGAAGGCGGAGATCGCCTCTCTGTCGCTCTCTCTCTCTCTCGCTATCTATTTATCTCTCTTTCTATCTTTTATCTCGTTCGTTTTTCTGCGCTTGTCTGTGTCGCTCGAACAAAGTTTGCGAACGTAAATGACAAGTGCATACAAACGAATGAGACAGAACTAACAGCGTCGTGTTCCACCACCATCATCATCCTCGTCGTTAGTTTTCTATCAGTGCCTTTAGTTCCATTGGCGACCACTCGCCCCGATCAGATGGCACACTCACACATCCAAGTGGCGGGTCCTGAAGAAGCGTGGGCACGCTGATGGATGCGGGGCTCTATGCGGCAACAAAATGTTATCGAATAGAACCCCGCACCCATCAGCATGGTCACACATGATCAGGACTTGACCCGTGGACATGTGTGTCGTCGTGTTCAACTACCATCTTCGTCCCCGTCGTTAGTTTGTTTTCAGTGCCTCTATTTCGTTCGTCTTATGCGCTGGCCTGTTTCTTTCCCGAACTTACCTCGGGGTGCGTTTGCGGATCTCGTTCCATTCCCGACCATTCGCCCCGATCAGTGTGGCCACGCATGTTCAGGACTTGACATGTGGACGTTTGAGTGTGTCATCTGATCAGGGCGAGATGAAGGAGTTCCGGGAGCAAGAATGCATGCGTTTCATTGGCGATCACTCGCCCCGATCAGACGACACACTTAGACGTCCACGTGTCACGTCCTGAACAAGCGTGGCCACGCTGATGGATGCGGTGCTCTATGCGATAATAGAATGTTGTCGAATTGAGCCCCACATCCATCAGCGTGGCCACGCATGTTCAGTAGCTGACACGTGGACGTGCGAGTGTGCCATCTGATCGGAGCGAGTGGTCACCAACGAAACGGGACCCGCGAATGTAGCCCGAGAATGTTGTGACACGCCCTTCGAGATTGTGTCGCCACTTCAGATGTTTTCTTGAAGTGTTACTCGCTTGTCGTCAATTTGTTGTCTCTCTCACGAACTGCGATATAAGGATTTTAGTCGTATCTTGTCGAGCACTAGAACATGGTTTCTCACGAAACGTGTCTCTTCTGGATTGCACATGGACTTTCTTCTGGCTGAATTAATTTTTATTGCGTTCCGTTTGTTTATTCGTTTTCCCGCGTAAGTCGCGTCGTGCAGTTCACTCGGCGTTCGATTCTGTATTTGTAAATTGTCCTCCACATTCGTCGAATCTTTCACATTTTTCGTCACTCTTCCTTTCGCCGACACGAATAATTTTTTCTTATATTTCTTTTGTGCAGTTTTGTTACTGGGTCACATTGCGAATTCTGAAATGGACAACACCATCCGCAGGATCTGCACATGGAGAGACAGAGAAATAAAAACAGGCTCTCTCGCTGCCCATGCTCTATCGATCTTAGTCTCCCTTCCGTGTCTGTGCGTGTTTTCTGCCTTTCTCCAATCTTCGTGTATCGCGGACAGTCGCTCAACCGATCTTAGGTTGGTCCCCCCTGAGTGCAATCACAGATCAGTAATCCGAAGACTGCTACGACACATCCGAAGACACAGGACGCGAACATGAATTCAAATCTTTGAACCTTATCAAACCTCGCGTCAACCGAACGCCGCGAGGAACCCTTCCGCTGACGTGGACACAGAACAGGACACGGAGCGATCAGATGCTCATAGGGTATTGTTGACGGTGACATGTCTGACCAATCAGGAGGACGACAGCCCACCCTGTCCATACCATCTTGTGGTGGCGCAACAACTAACGTATACGAGCCACCCTTGTTAATTTCGGTTGCATCCGAGCCACAACCCACTAAAACTCATGGGGCGACCACTAACCGAGGCACCTTGGCGAAGTTCGGATTAATCCGAACCACACCGACGACAAATTTGGATTTRTCACATGCTYAGACGGTATTTACGACGTCRCACRTTCTGATAAACGTGAACGACRAAATCAYACGYTGTCAACAGACYGTGCCGTCCATCCACCGGTCCCCGTCTCGGATTAATCCGAACCACACCTCCGACAAGATAGGGTCCACCCTATGCTCACAGGTCATTGAGGAAAACACGCCATGCCGATGGCCTCCTCTTGTGGTCGGCAATTTCTGTCTCGCATTGTGCTAATTCGGATGCATCAGAGTCACAACGCCAAACTTTCGACTCTGCCCAGCTCGGATGTGTCCGAACTCCCCCGCTGTCTTCGTCTTCGACCATTCGCTCTACGAGAGGCAGTCTGATGACGAAGGTTAACGATGCCTCGGATTCATGCAACTAAAACGAGTCGAGATTGTGACGCTCGGGTGGAAGAACGACGAGCTCGAAACTTGTGCTGCGACTACAGCAAACATGTCTGTTGTTTGGATTGGGCGAGCAACAACCAACTAGAACTCACGAGGACGATGACATCCCCCGTGATGACGCACAGATTATAATGACACACTACGGCAATCGCGGGGAGGTCCGGTGTGTGGTGGGGCGATAACAAACCAAAGCGCCTCGGCGAAGTTGGATTAATCCGAACCACACCGATGGCTTGTTCGGATGTACAACATGCGCAGAGGGTATTGACGACATCGCACGGTCTGACAAACTTGTACGACGAAAGCACACGGTGTCGGCGCAGCTTGTCATGGTCGCACGTATGGGGACAGGCCCTGTCGAAATCGGATAAATCCGAGCCACACCCGTCTTACACGCTCAAGGACGAAGACACACCGTGCGAAATTCGGGTGGACCCAAGGAAAGTTGGGGAATAACGGAAGCTTGGACGACTGGATGGGCGTCAACACACCGTGGGGTCCATCCGCCGGTCCCTGTCTCGGATTAATTTGAGCCACATTTGCGGAGTTCAGGTTCAACYGAACCAAACMTCCGGCAGGATAGGGTTAACCCAATGCTCATAGGTCGGTGACGAAAACACGTGCTATAGATGGTGCCCTCTTGTGGACGACCGTCTCTGGACCGCGCTGTTCGAATTCGGATGCATCCGAGTCACAACCGTTACCGACTCAGAAGGACAAGAAAACTCGAGTTCGGTTTGGTCCGGGCCGCAAGGGGGTGGTCCACACCACTTTGGAGCTCGGATGCATCCGAACTACAGCAGCGAACTTTATAATCCGCTTGTCGACTTCGAATGACACCGTATCACCAAGGGGTGCTCATCTTCATCTGCCGTGTCAGCGTTCTAGTGCCTTCTTGCTAGGTATTGCTTTTTCCGGTGCAGGTGCCTATGCGACGTCGGTTTTTCGACTGCGCCTGCTTCGGATGTATCCGATCTATCCCGCGGTCTTCGTTTTTGACCATTCGTTCTCTTAAGAGCATTGTGACGAGGATGGCTCACGATGCCTTGGACTCATCCGAAACGTGCACACGTGGGGACCACTGTCGTCTAACTATGACTGAACTTCGTTGTTTTGGGGTCCGGGTGACCGATAACAGAATACGTACTGTGGGTTGTGGTTGATGTTGGGACGTGCTGACTGTTCTGAGTGCATGTGGGTTCATTTCCTCCGTGTGTTTCAGGGAATGGCTACACACGGACGAAGCCGCTCCGCTGGTGAGCGTCGAGGGACGACGTCGTCGCCGGCAAGGGAAACGAGKCGGGGAGGTGGCGGTGGGGAGGAAGAACGATGGGCTCAAAACTTGTGGTGCGACTACAGCAAACGTGTCTGGTATTTGGACTGGGCGAGCCAGGACGGCTCCAACCCATTGCAACCACCATGCGGGCCGCTCTTGTTCTTCGCAGTTCGCGCCGACAGAACGCGTCTCGCAGGGTCCATCGTCCAATGGGTCGACGTTGGCGAATATAATTTCAAGTTTACGTTGAAGAAGCATTACAGAAGTGATGGTTCCGTCGACGACATCGTAAAAGGATGCAAGGTTTCTGGGAGGATGTTCGGCGGGTACGGTCGGCGTGCGATGTCTTTGTCGTACTTTGTCCCGCTAGCGCCGGGGCACGACGAGGCCGTTCACGTGACAAACTTCCTCGAGGTCTGGGCGAGATCTGGTACCTCTGTCAGTGTCGTGGACGTCGGACCTGGGACATCAATCAGTGGTCCTGTTGGGTTCGCAGGAGGAGAGTGCTCTGGAAGGGGGATGGGAGGTCAGGGTGGACTGCCAGCTACGCCTCTTGATCAAGAGGTGGGCATGTCAGACGACTCGGAGGACGACCATCCACGTGCTCCTTCGAAACCGGGCTTGCATGGATCTCGCCGCCAAGGTTTACTTGGGGAGTCGACGCCACGTGGAGGCGGCGATGGCGAACGGTTGTGACAGGGCTCAGAATCGACGACTCCTCGTGGTCTGGTCGAAAGGATTGGTTTGTTCGTTCGTGGCATGCAGGTGGCCGAGGTTTCGTCTGGAGATCGCGCGGGTGGTCCGCAGGTTCGAGAGGTGTGTGGGTCAGATGAGACGACTCGCCGGGCCCGACCTGCGCCTGCGCAACTGCATACGGAGTTGAGCCTGGAACGAGAAGCAAGTGGGAACATCGCCGGTGAGGAGGAGGTGTCCGCGCAGGGGTTGTTCCGTGAGAGATCGGTTAAAAAGACTCAGTCGCGAGGAAAGCGCGACTTGCCGGATGAGGAAAAGCGAGAGGGAGTAGGTGCTCTGAAAAGGCAGAGAAAGGTACGAGGGATTGCTCGGACGCCAACAACACGAGAAGGCGGTTCCGTTGAGAAGAGGAAAAGGGTTGGAGGTGGGGATGAAACGCCAAAAGACTCATCGACACAGCGAAGAACCGGTGAGTCTTCCGGGAAACAGTCGAAATCATCGAGGGGGAAGAAAGCAGATGAGGGCGACAGTGGGGAGGGAGATGACGACGTGGACACTAACCTCAACGCCTTCAACCTCGACAATGCGTTCTTCCTCGAGATGCAGACAGGGGTGCAGAAGGACGTCGTGTTGCACATCCATCCCGAAAGAATATTAGCTATTCCAGACTAGGAAGACGCGTACAACCACCGATCCTTGGACGAGTTCCTCGTTGATACCATCGCCTCGGCTATGATCGATTGCTACGAACGTAAAGACATGAGATACACGAAGCCCATTTTCGTTCTCGCTCCGATCGTCGTGCCTCCAGAGAACGGCGAGCCTGCTGTGCGCGCGCTGCCTGCTGACTTCGACAGCTCACAGCCGGAGAAATACTGGTATTATCATGTGTGTGGACAGCATAACGCGAGGGCGGCGATGAAGGTGAAAAACCATCCCGTGTTTGAGTACTACAACTTCTTTAAATGGCCGTTCAGACCGATCTGCTTCCTTGACGACAAGTTCGACGGCTATGCCCATGTCAGCTGCGAAGACAACATGAAAGACAAGAAGAATCCTTGCGCTTGCAGGTTTTGTCTATGCGGGACATTCGCAATATCTGGAAAATTAAGGGCAAACCGCGTGTGGTACTCGGCAATGCGTCGCAAAAAAAGGACGAGGTGCGAAAGTGGGTGCAGTTCATGGCGTTGGCTATGAAGAAGACACCGTACACGCCTTTGTGGAACCTGTTAACGGAAGAAAAGAAAAGAAAGGAATGGGCTGAGAAACTTCGATACTACCTCCCGCTGGCCATGGCAGATGACTCCGTCTTCACTTTGGGAGATAAGTTCTATGAGGAGTGGTCGAAAGGGAAACTCCTTGCTTCCGACGGCCGACGTTGGACTGAAAAGCCGCCCACCCATGAGGAGGTGGCCAAGCCAGGACTCTCCACTGTGAGTGACAGCCAGGAGCTGAAGAAACACGTCTGGTACGTGAAGGTGGACGACCCGTCGTTGAAAAAGGGCAAGGGGAAGCCAAAGAAAGGCGCGGAGGAGAAAACTTTCTACGTCCAAGTTCCTAAGCCGGATGTCCACTGCTGGAAGGAATTGGTGGACTTGACGGACCGCGAGAAGAAAAGACAACACGGCGTCTTGAACCTTAACGTCGTGTGGGTTCAAACGAGTAGCAAGAAGTTGGCCGAGCAGGGGAAGTTCAGTGTCAAGGAGATGGTCGACATAATAAAAATGGACCGGATTATGCTGAGGCTGTGGAACTACATGGAGTTTGAGTACGAGGAAATGGATAAGCGGAAGTGGAATGCCAACTCCACGTTCTTCAGGTCCAAGAAGCAACTGTTCGAAGAGTTCAAGGACAAAGGTCTCGACGACAAGCTTTGGAACGAGAGCAGGAAATTCTTCACGGACTCCACGTACGTCAACAAGTGCCCTCGGTTTCTCGGGTGTCAGCACGACAACAACATCAAGAGAACGGCGACCCTCATCAACGACCAACATTTCCTGACGGAGTGGAAACGTGTCGTCCTTTCGGTGATCACGGGAGATCGCGCGAAAGGCAAAAAAAGCCCTCGGGGCATTGATGAATGCATCAACATTATGTGGACGAGGACAAGTGCCTTGACGACGCTGACCTAGTTTAACGTCGACCCATTGAGTGCCATAGATCATAAGGAGGCGCTGGGAAAACTAGGGCATCAGCTACGCTCCCACACTTGCGTGCTCGACTTGTGCGGAACTGTGGACCGTGCGCAATGGGACTCTGGGGCATTCGCGTCTCTGAGTGAGTTGATGGGCTTCGTTTGTCAGGACTACTGGACATTGGTGGTATTCGTTCCCTGCCTGTGGAACCTCTCCTTCATGACATCTTTGTCTGCGCTTGGGGCTACCCGATGCTACACGGGGAAGTGGGTTCGGAAGACGGCAACGAAGAAGACGCATTAGTTCGGAAACAGCGTCTGGGAGGAGCCGGATGTGATACATACCCTTTTCAAAGGTGAGGATCCTCGGCTACTGACTCACCCGGTGTACGAGGGAGCTGTTGCTGAAGACGACGACGACGCTCTCCGTAGGAAATAAAAAGTGACACCCACGGATATGGAGGAGAAGTCTTTCAAGTCCTTGACTTTCACGGACATCGGAAACCTCACCCAGAGGGGGGCTCTGTACAAGGACGGCGAGCGGAATTCGAATCACTTATGCAATCAGCTTCTTTTCTTCTGTGGTGTGGCGGATGTTGTGCTGTTCTTGGGCAAGCCGCACGCGCAGGTGGTGTGGAGTCTGCTTCAGCAGGGAAGGCACGTCTTGGCCAAGGATGGGGACACAACGCAGCTCGAATACACCGTGCAGTATGTCACACATGAAGTGTCGTCCAAGGCTTACCCATGCGATTTCCACCATGTCGTGGTCGAGCCCGTTTATGACCCGAACAAGGACATATTCTTCAAGTTGACTTCGAAGAAAAGGCGCCAGGTCTACTCCTTCCTTTACGGCGAACAACCAAGGTTGAGATTTGACCCGCAGTACGTGGTGCGGAAGGAAGTCGCCATTGCGGTCCTCCAGGGCTACCACGGAGCGAGTCGGGCCGGCGCTGTGAGCTTCATTAAGAGGTTGGAATATGTGTTTTTTAACGAGAATGTTGTCGATCGGGCCCACTTCCCTTTGGATAACTACAAGCTGACATTCGGTGAGGAGGACGACTTCAATATCGAGAATGAGCAGGAGGAGAGCATTGAGGACGACCTCTTCGATTTGGACGGGCAATTGGCCATCTTCAACGCCCAAGTTTCTGAGTCACCGTCAGTATGCAAACCGGGGACACCTCTCGCTACAACCACCTCGAGCGGCCCTACGCCCGTGTCCTCCTCAGCGCCTGTCAAGAGGGGTGGGTTGTCCCGTCTGAGGAGTTCGCCGGGGGAGCCTATTCGTCTCACACCGCAGCCCGAACGTCTTCGACCCGGCCATCCAGTTCCTCCGGACCATCCGCATCTCAAGGCTCCTGCTACTCCCTTCCACATGGGCGACAAACACACCTTCTCCACAGCCGAAGATTGGGGCCATGATATCGTGTGGCACCCAGACCATTTCCAGCCAGTCCTTCTCGACGGCGAATGGGCAGTGGCTGTGAGGGACGTAAGTGGAGGGTGGATATATGACGATCGTTGGGACCTCGAGACATTCAAATCTCGCGCCTACGATGCGGTTTTGGAGAGATTAAGTGAGGTCAATCGACGAAGTAAGGACGACCCTGCTCTGCGGGAATACGGGGACATGCTGTTCGATTTATTGCAGTCAAATAAATGGCTGGAAGTGTCCTCCGCGTTCTACGCCCTTCCGTCAAGCCCGTCAATTAAGCAAGTGAGTTGGGAGTTGCCTGCGGGCACCCCACCGGCAGGAGTTGTGAAGCGCAAGTCTCGCGGAAAGGACGGCGAAGGGGATGGTGAAGGCGGCGGGCAACTAGGTACCGGAGGTGGAAGTGAACAGCGTTCAACGAAACAGCGGTCGTCGGGGCACGCAGGCGGCGGAGAGGGGAAAAAGGGCAGCCGGGAGAAGAAAAAACCTCGCAGCGGAGAGAAGACAAAGCATCACACAGGAGACGGGCAGGGGTCCGATGTCGACCGCGACGAGGACGGTGGGGTTCTGGCGGTGACAGGCCGCACCTCAATGGAGACGGGGAACGACTTCAGGCCTGGGTGGATTACACGGCCTGGCGAGCAGGACCCTGTGATTAACTCCACCAGCGCAACACAGTATACCGATGCTGTTGGCGGGGCAGTTGTAGCAAAGAATGGAACTTGCTTCGCTCAGCTTCAAAAACGGTTGGCCGATTGTCTCGGATCTATCCGAACCTCGGAGACGACATCCTCGTCCGGATCTCAGTGCCTTCCGGGAAGCGAGACGACAACATACCACGGATCCGGCAGCGACAAGCTCCAACCATGTTCGGTTTCGCCTCAAAAGGAAGTTCGGATTAATCTGAACCCGGAAGCCAGTACCGTTGAGAGAGCACAGCGGTCTGCGGAACTCGAACGGGTGGTCCGGGTTTCTGAAAACCCTGGCGTCGAAATTCGGATTCATCCGAACCAGGAGGATGTGTCCGCCATGACAGACGACCGGTGTCAGGACACCGTCATGCTGTGCATGGAAGTCCACAAGGAGCTGCAGGCAGACTGTCCGACTGAGGGTGAGTTAGCGACCAGTTTCAATGTCGAGCCCCGCACACTCGGTGCCGAATGCCTGGTGACAGTACGCGCTGAGTTAGCAGTCTTAAGCGACTCTCCGGTGAAAGCGGACACGTCGTCGCTGTTGGAAAGTGCGGTGGCTCGGATGAATCCGAACCAGGGCCGTGTGAGCATGTCCCTCCCTTGTGCAGCTTTGGAGACGACCGTAATTCGGATTCATCCAAGACACACGGACGAAGGACTTGACGGTTGTCGACTTCTGACGACTTTGGACAAGGACGATTCCGCCGAGGACCGGATTGATCCGACACTCGGCGGTGTCGGGATGGAGCAACCAGTTCAACCGACATACGACGACCCCTTGTACTCCGGCCTTCACGACGAGGCAATGGGAGAGGACGTTCTGAAGAAGTCCTCTGACGCTGTTGGAGATAGATTTCTCTATTTGAGTGACGACGATAAAGACACAGTGCACGAGGACAAGAAGTTAAGGGGGGGAGAGGTGTTGTTGGACATCCATGGGACCTTGAGCACAACATAATGCGACACAGTGGCGACGGAGGAAACCCAACATGTTAACGTTGTGGACGTCGACGCTCTTTGTCAGGAGACGGACAGACTAAAATTGCCAGTCGCGGACGTGGAGGATTTCCGCCATCGAGATGGGGATGAATTCATGCCATCGCCGGTCATCGACGCCGACATCTTGAACCTGTCAAGTTTCCCTGTGAGTTTGTAGCACGTCGTCGCGGCGTCGACGCGCACGGGGGCGCCAATCGTGCTGGGACTGCCATCGGTGGGCTCTGGTGACGTTGAAGCTAAGTCTGGTGAGCACTGTCTTCCTTTTCTTGCTTCCCGCTTGTCATCCCGTTCGTGAAGTATTTTTTGCTTCGTCGATTTCTGGGAGGTGTGTACGTGGCCGCCAACTGGATTTGACGATGTGCTTCGTGAGGTGCTGTTTGCTTGGTTGCTCTTTCGAAGTTGTGTTGTTGATCTCCTGCTGAACTGTCTGGGTGGCTATTTCTTATACAGGTCGAGGAGCTCGTGGACAACCACACATGTCGCAGGAGCCGCCTGCCCTCGCCAGGTTGTCAGTCCTAGTTGCGGGAGGCACTGGTCGTCGCAATGTCACTGATTCGTTTCTTGGGGAGACTAAACCTCGGGGCCCTCCCAGAAGGGTTGTCGTGCCCGTATTGGGCCCTCGCGCTAGACTCGTTGCAGAGGCAGCGGGTGTTGCCGAAAAAGACTGCAAGGAATTCCTTCTCGAGGCTTGCAGGGATATAAAGAAAGACAGTGCTAGTTTAGAATCAGCTGTGTGTGGAAGGTCCAGAAGTAGGGGTGACGTTATGCGTGAACTTTTCGGGCCACAGCATGGCCGCTAGGATGGCATTTTCTCATAGTGCCCCATCCTTTGTGCTTGTTGTGTGCTGCAGGTGTTTGTTGAACAGGGTTTCCTCGAGATGGAAGAGCAGTCCTTGAATACGTTATCTGCTCCCGGTTTCCGCTCACTATGATCGTCGCGCGTTTGCCGTCGCACAATTTACAGGTTTCCGTCAAGGACATCGTCGCACTCGTTGATGGATCCGGGAAGCTCAACGATGAGGTCGTCAATTTCTACATGGCGATGCTACTGGACGACTGCGGCCGGACTGCTGCTACCAAGAAGACGTACACCTTTAACTCTTTCTTCGCCTCTACACTGCTTCTGCGAGGTCCAGCAGCTGTTTGCAGATGGGCTAAAGATGTGGACCTCCTGTCTCATGACCTCGTCTTGGCACCAGTGCACAAGGACGACGAACACTGGAGACTTTTGGCCATTGACTTCTCTAGACGTGTTTTGGAAATCTATGATTCGTTCTTGTGTTCGTCATCCAAAGATGACTTCTACTCTGCACTTTTAGATAAATTTGTTAAATTTTTGAACACGGTGGCAGGTGCCGCCGGTGATAGTCGCACTTTCGACCACTTCGCTCGCGAGGTCAGCGTGAAAGGTGTCCCTCGGCAGCACGACGGGGCTAGTTGTGGGGTGTTCATGTTGATGTTCGCTTCCTGTTTGGCGAGAGGTTTACGTCCACCTTTTGGTTTCTCCCATAGACACATCTTCTCTATCTGAGCTAGACTAGCTTTGGCGATTTGCGATGTTGGTAGGTAAGTGTCTATCTTTTTGTTGATCATGTAGTGCAGAAGGGTTGATTTAGAAGAACATTTCGTTCTTCTCCGGACGAAATTCGTTCCTTTTCATTTTTTCCGAGAGAGATTGGTGGGTGTTATCGGTTTGGTTCAGAGCAGAACTGGCTGTCACTGCTAGGATATCTCCGGGTGAAATTGTCATGTCCCCGGCGTGTTTGTCGTCGACAATATTGTTCTTTCTCATTGGCTTTCAATTCTCGCAAACGTCTCCGTTGTTGGGGCACCTGTTTCGTGATTGGCTTTCTCACCTTCGTCATTTTGTGTTTTGTGTGGTGTGATGTTCTGCCCGCATACTCGGATGCATCCGAACTCCAACTATCTCTATGCTTTTCTGCCTCTCTCTCGAACCTTCCCCGTCCTCTACACTCATCTATGCATTTTCACTTTGAATGTCGTGAGGCATCACTGAGAAGAAAATACAACACAAGGGCCTCTTTATACATTGATGGCCCGTCTGACCCTCCGCGCTGGGTGCTTTTTGGTTCCAACGTTGAATGTTGTCAATTAATTGGCCCATCAAAGCTCCCCGTCTGCACGAGCATTTATACATCCGGTTCCTATTCCATTAGACAATACACTGAAAAAATTGAATGCGTCGAGGGAGGGAAAACCCGAAAGGAGACGCCGATGGGTGCTCCAATGTGACGAAATTTGAATTAAGGTAGCACGGTTGAAAGAAACAATTCCATAATTCGGCAAAATTTAATGTAAACAACCACCATAAATTCTATGAAAAATAGAGAACGGCTGGCCAGAGAGAATCCTGACCAACGCCCAGAGAATATGTCGACAAGGGACCGATTTTTGACATTGTCTGTTGCTATCTTACCTTTCTTTCACTGTCTTTTTTTTTTTCTTTCTTTTTTCGTCTTGAGCGTTTGCACATCATGATTCTCGTTCTCCGAAATCATTACCATATGCATCCCAAAAGACAAAATCGAAACAACATCACAGCCGTTGCATTGCGAGAAAACCGCAGAGAAAGTCATTATAAAAACTCAATTTTATCGATCAAATGAATACAGTTCATGTAACGTAACCGATCACAGAGCCTGCACGTTAAAGCTCAGTCCATATCAATCGCCCAAAGCCAGAGCACAACGGGATATGCAATGTTAACCATAGTATGGAACCAAAAACAACCTTATCAGGGTACAAAACGGGTCTCCCGATGAGTTGGCATAAGCGCACAACGAATCTTCAACGATTCGAAGAACATTATCATCGTCACCAACAAAGAGTAGAGAGTTATGTTGACCGGTGACACCGCCCTCAGAGCTCTCTCTCTCTCTCTATCTCTCTCTCTCTCTCTCTCTCTCTCTCTCTCTATCTATCTATCTATCTATCTATCTATCTATCTATCTATCTATCTATCTATCTGTCTGTCTGTCTGTCTATCTCTGCAGTCCCAAAATCACACCCATGTATTATTTGTTTATTGGATTGCTCTCAGTTTTATTCTGAAAACCCTATGCACTCACTCGGCAGTTCTCGCATGCCTATATGGAAAAGATCAGAATGAAGAACCGGCCCGTAAAGATACTGCAATGACATCACAGCGCACGACTGATATAAGCACAATCCGATTCAGATGCACTCTCTCTCTCTCTCTCTCTCTATCTATCTATCTATCTATCTATCTATCTATCGATATACTATCTATCTATCTATCTATCTATCTATCTATCTATCTATCTATCTATCTATCTCCGGAGTCCCAAAATCACACACATGTATTATTTTTTTATTGAATTGCTCTCAGTTTTATTATGAAAACCCTACGCACTCACTCGACAGTTCTCGCATGCCTATATGGCAAAGATCGGAACCAAGAACCGGCCCGTCAAGATACTGCAATGACAGCACAGCGCACGAGTGATATAACCACAATCCGATTCAGACGCACTCAGTGCATCTGATTCGAATTCTGGTTATATTAGTCGTGCGCTTAGTCAACCAAGGTGACAACCGGCAACAAACTTCATTTGAGCTCTCTCTCTCTCTCTTATGTTGACCGCTGACACCGCCCTCATCTCTCTCTCTCTCTCTCTCTCTCTCTTTCTCTCTCTCTCTCTCTCTCTCTCTCTCTCTCTCTCTCTCTCTCTCTCTCTCTCTCTCTCTCTCT